ATTCTCTAAGCAGAAGGAATGTTCCCTGAGCATGACAGAACAGCTGATTTTTATGAGCGAGAACAAGGAAACATCAATAGAAGAAAGCAGATTGGTGAAAATCAGGTTTTTCTTTCAGAAGGATTAAAGTAGAAGGAATTATTACTTAATTTTACTAACAGGTTGACCGAGTTCTTTCTGACGGTTACTGTGAATCTCTTTTTTGGAAAAACTGGTTTGTTTTTACCTGCTTCTTTAAAGTTTCTGTTTGACTATTCGGCACTTATCATGAATGTCATTTTGATTTGTAGCAGGAGCTCAAACCCAAAACAATGCCTTCCATAACATTTAACAGAGGGGAAAAAAAATCCTCATGGACAAACCTAAGCTGCAATTACAAGCATGTGCCACCACCAGCAACAATAAATATTTCTTAATAATCTTTGATACTCAAGGCACACCTAACCAGGCTTTATCCTAAAGCAGGCACCAATGTAGAAGTCCTATACTAGGTAAATGTTCTTTAAACCATGTTTATATTTTCCCTAGAAATAAATGTAAAAATCTTAATTTCAAAATTTGTGATATGAAATAAGAAGAGAAATAAGGGAGAAAAAAATGTGATTTAAAAGTAAGAGGCAAGTGGAAATTATCTTCCCCATATTTATGAGATAGGGCAAAGGACAGGTAGCTGATTATTAAAGATTAGAAATTGGTAGACAGCACTTCACCATCAACTGGGTGCTAACACCTCTAGGGGAGAGGAAGGATCAAACTTTCCAACACAAGCAATCACACCTTGGATAGTTCTTTTCCTGCCTTTTGGTCAGGCAGGCATGAAAAGAAAGAAAACCCCAAATCTATAAAGGAGCAAGACAACCCAACTCCCCTGGGTACCAGCTCTGGGTTTCCTCCTCTCTGGAGGAGCCTCTCTCTCTGTTCTATCCCTTAAATAAAATTCTTTCTACTCTTGCCTCAAGTGTTTACTCTTCAACATCCAGAGAATGAGGACCCCATCCTGGTTTTCAAGACCGGTATCATTTGGTTATCTCCTACAAATTTCCAATTTATCACTTTGGAGGGAGCAAAACTGACTAACTAGTCAGTTCTGATTGGTCAAGTTTGCTAAAGCAGTGGCTTTCAAACGTTCGTCAAACATCAGAATAACTCAGAGTTTGTTAAAAACACATTTTACAGGAGTCTTCTCAGAATTTCTGATTTAGAGCTGGAGTGACCCCAGAGAATTTACATTTCCAACAAATTTCCAGATGATGCTGAAATGCCTAGTTGGAAGACTTCTTTGAGAGTCACTAAAGTTGCAACTCCCAGGGAGATGAATGTGTAAACATAATCATTGCATTTGGAAAAGCTAACAGCCACAAAAATTAAAACGACATACCTCACACATCAAACCACACCTCTGGGAGTCTATATGTTTTATAGATTTAAAGATTTGCTTTACTTTGTTCAATGAAATTTATGGAAGGTTATTTTTGGGGACTAAGATTCTGCACCAGATTCCAGCAAACCTGACTAAACCACAATGGAGTCACTAGTGCTAAGCGCCACATATTCAAACTGACCTTTGAAATGGGCTAGGCCTCCACAAAACAAAATCAGCAACCAATCAGAAGGGACCCTATTTGCCTGAGACAACAGGACAAGTCCTCTGTGTTAACCCTGTTCGGAAAGCAATTTTGAAACCAGTCTTTTTGTTTCTTAATTCTGCTCTCTTCTACGTATCAGGCCAATCTCTTCTCTACAGCTGGTGGGAGTTCTTACTATTTTACAGAATCTTATGCTGCCCGGATTGATGAATCGTCAATAAAGGCCAATTCGATCTACAGTTGATGTAATTTTGAACAATCTGTACCTATGGAAAAGCTTCTATTTTAATCTTCATCTTGTCAGCATTTAAACATCTCTGTATACCGGTTCGGCCAGATTCCAAGCCATTCCACGCTGTATAAAAGGGCACGCTCCAGGGTGAAAAATACTAGCAACTGAATGATGTTTGAGCCTCGTTCCGGCTCGTGGGAAAATGCCTCTGACGTTCACTTCAAAGGAAATGTCACCCATATATCCCCTCAAAGCAAAACCTCATTTTTCGGAAGGTTTTCATAAACACCAAAAACCTGCTTGGCACGACTCAGTGCCAGTTGGAGAGCAAGGAAGCCAACACACGCAAAACCCGAAACTCCACCCTCCGACCCCCAGACGGACCCCCCGGACGGACTCCGGTTACCGCCCTCCGGACCAACCCGAAGGAGAGGAGGCGTGGCCGTGCGCGCGGCGCCCACGTGACCGCTGAAAGCTGCGTGCTGCCAAGTCGCGCGATCCGCCGTCATATCAGCTTATGGCGCCGGCCCCTGATTGGCTGGCCGCTTCTGCTGCCTGGCGCGTGGGCTCGGTTCCGCTCCTCCCGTCAGAGTCCGCTTACCGACGGTGGCCCGCCGCTGGCCCGCCGCGGCATCCTGGAAGCGGCGGCGGCTGGAGCAGTGTGGACTCTCCAGGTAGTCACAAGTGCGCGGCGGAAGGAGGCGGCACCCACCTGAGCGGGCCGGGGGCGGGAGGAAGAAGAGCGGTGCCGAGAACCTGCGAGCCAGGACCGGGTTGGGGAGCGTGAACGTGTGCCTCTACCTTTCTTTTTCTTTGACCCGAAGCAGGCGTCTGTTGAGTGCCTCCTAAATGGCAGGCACTGGGCAGCTGCTGAGATCCCAGCGGTGAAGCTGACGTAGCACAGACTGGCAGGTAGCTGGGCATCCTTAATTAAGGTGTGAGGGTGATGCTGGGGCGAGAGCGGGGCCCAGCCCTGGGCCCGGTGTCCAGAAGGGTGGCGGCCAGATTGACACCTAGGGCAGAGTGCCCCGAGGAGAGGGTGTCAGGGTAGAGGAGGAGGTTTGAGGTGAAGAAAACAAAGGTCGACCTTTGAAGAATGTGCAGTGTTTTATGTTGCTTACTGTGGATCTCTTGTCCAGGGAAGTCTGGCCACTGAACTCTTTAAGGCTTTACTATTCGATGAATTTCCCTTCGTTCTTGGAAGGAATTTCTTTTTAAGGGTCAAAAAATTCGGCTGAAAAACTGGTCGTTATCTATCAGTTACTGGAAGGGAATAGATTGCAGGGACAACATCCCCAAGTGGAGAAGATTAAAAGGGAACAGGAAAGGGAACTCCATAATCTGTTACTTTAGCATGGTAAAAAAGTCTTGTATACTGGCATCCCTTTGTTTACTGCAGAGTAAATTTGGAGGTGGTATGGGTGAGGAAAACATTGCCTCTGCAGAGAAAGTTACCAAACTGGAAAGTTTGTAGCAGTCTGGTGTTTTTAGGGGAAACCACCTAGGAGGTTACCTATATTTATATTACTATAACTTCTTTTTAAGTTTCTAGTGATAAAACCTAATAAATAATAAATATGTGGCCCTAGATCATTTACAGAGTATTTTTCTGTTAAGTTATATAATTAGCATGGAGTAGTACCCAAAATTCCCCATCTACATCTATAACATCTTAAGAGACTAGGCTATGGAATGTACATCATAGCTGCTACTTATTACTGAACAAGGTATTTGAGTATTCCTGACCTCAATTTCCTGTCTATAAAGTGGAGATTATAGAATTACCTGCCTCATAGAATTTTGAAAATTAGATGAGGTTATACCAAAAAAAAAAAGTACTTAAAATAATATCTGGGTCTCAATACATGTTTGCTGTTATTACCAATATTTACAAGTTAAGCAAAAAGATATTAATGCACTCAGTTATTCTAGGCCTAATAGGGTTTTATTGATAATTGTGTTTTAAGAAAAGGAGTTTTGTTTGTTTCTGCAAAGGCAAAATAATATTTAGTAAAAATTTGTATTTCAAGGAGTGGTACTTAAGTGAAGCCCCTGACTTCAGAGGGTATAACCCTTTAAAATTATATGAGCTTGTAGTTACTGAGGATTTTAAAAATATAAGGAATTAAAGAGTTGGCATCCTGGTGAAGAAAAAGTTAATGAGACTTTTGTTTTTTAGTTAAAGATGGACACAATATCTTTATGTAATTATTTATTTTTATGTGGTGCTGAGTATTGAACCCAGTCCCTCACAGGTGCTAGGCAAGTGCTCTACCACTGAGCCACAACTCCAGCCCCGATGGACTTTGGACTTTGTAATCAGACTGCATGTGTTTGAATCCTAGCTACAGCATTTATTTATTCTGTGATTTTTGGGCAGGGTACTTGAATTTTCTCTGCCCAAATTCTTCATCTGTAAAATAAGAATAATACTAGTACCTAACTCTTGGGGTTTCTTAAAAGGTTGTAACATTTATGGTACTTACTTAGTGTATAGTAAATGTTAACATTAGCTATTATTATTTTTCAAAGAAAAGTCAAATGGCACCTTTTTCTGAGTATGTTAAATTAATTTTTACTCAGCTTTGTCTCATAACAGTCATGACTCCTGTTTGTTTAGTATTTACCAAGTGTCAGGTGGTATTAGAAGACTACATAATAGGGCTGTGGTTGTGGCTCAGTGGTAGAGCACTCATATAGCACATGTTTTTAGGCGAAACCACCTAGGAGGTTACCTATGTTTATATTACTATAACTTCTCTTTAAGTTTCTAGTGATTATAGAATTACCTGCCTCTCAGCACCACATAAAAATAAATAAAATAAAGGTACTGTGTCCAACTACAACTAAAAAATAAAATATTTTTTAAAAAAAGACTGTGTAATAGCCGGGCGCAGTTGTGCATAGCTGTAATCCCACCAGCTTCAGAAGCTGAGGCAGGAGGATTGATAGTTCAAAGCCACATTTAGCAACAGCAAGGTGATAAGCAACTCAGTGAGACCTGTCTCTAAATAAAATACAAAATAGGGCTGGGGATGTGGCTCAGTGGTTGAGTGCCCCTWGGTTCAATTCCCAGTACCCCCCCACACCAAAAAAAAAAGACTACATAATCACTAAACCTTAGAACAATTCTATAACATAAATATGTTATCTTCATTTTACAGATATTGTGTTGGAATATAATTTGACTTCAAAATTTAATTGCTGTTTTGAGATCATCTCACCATCAGAAGATTTTGTGTGTTAAATTTCAGAAATTACAGCAAAGTATTTGCAGTTGCCTATTTACCACAGTCAATAAACAGAATTGATTGAAACCAAAATTCTAAAATCACTTAAATTAGGTTTAACTTCACAGTATCCAAACTGCCTCCAAATGGACAGGGACAATTCCTCCTCCCAGGCACTGGTTTATCGTCAGAATAATCATGTACAGGTAATTACATATTAACCTTTGGCATGTTCTTCAGGTAAAACCAAAATGAAAGATTTTTAAACTTAAGAATTGATATCTTATTAGGGTCTTTCCTTATATCTTATTTTAAAATTGAATGAAGAAGATAGGGTTTGAGTTCTTTTTGACTGCACCAAACTGTTTCAAGTACTGAACTGAATTAGTGATATTGGCACTACAGGCAGTTCCCAACTTAATGATGGATCGACTTAGGACTTTTCAGCTTTGGAATGGTGTGAGAATGATTTACCTTTAGTAGAAATTTTCTTTGAACTTCAAATTTTGATCTTTTCCCTGGTTCATGATACACAGAATGTACTGTTGCAATGCTGGGCAGTGGCTGTGAGCTGCAGATCTCAGTTGGTCATGCCACTGTGAAGAGAAGCAGCCATCCCTCTCAGTATGTTGTGTCACTAATCTGAGTAGGTTAGGTGTGTGAAATTAATTTTCAGTTTACAATATTTTAAACTTACTATAGATTTATTGGCATATCACCCTGAGGAGCATCTATATATAATATGTGGTTGAGTGCATCAAGTCTTACCATCCTTTAGTGGTATACCAATATCCTCTTCAAGTTCCCTGGTATCATTAGTATTTAGTGTACTTCCTCTGCTGTACTGTCTCCTTAGAAGGACTTCACCCCATATGACTTTAACTGCTTAACAAATACTCAGCTCACTTTTGAACCTCAGTTCATATTTAACATGGCCTGTTACTTATATTTAGAAGCCCAGGCAATTAGATTTAAGATCCAAACTGAGCCCATCATTCCTTGCTCAAACCCTATTCCTACCTACCTGAATCTACTAGCTCTCCAGTGTTTACTATTTGGGTTATAATGACACCACCATCCACCCTGGCAAGTCAAAATTTTATAGTTATCCTAGAATTTTTTCCCTTTCACATACCAGTGTCTCAGAGTTATCCATCTCCTGTGGATCCCTGCCCCCATACTAGAGGTTGAATCTAGGGCCTAATGCTTGCTATGCAATGTTCTACCACTGAGCTACATCACCAACAATTTTCTTTTTAAATCTTGCTTTGAGACAGAGTCTTGCTAAGTTGCCCGGGCTGGCCTCAAACTTGCAGTTCTCTTGCCTGCGACTCCTGAGTATCTGCAATTACAAGTGTGTGCCACCATGCCCAGCCTCTGGATTTTTTTGCATGCTAAAATCTTTGAATATGACCATATCTGAGTCTATACTGTCATCAGATAGTCTAGCACAGGAACAACCAAATGAGTTTCTCTGATTCTCATCAATATTTCATTTTCCTAATGGAATGATCGTTATGAAATATGGGTCTGATTACACCTCAGAATTCTGTACCATGGCCTCTGCATTATGTGTCAGAGAAAGTTCAAATTTCTTAGTGTGGTAACAGATCCCTTCCTAGTTTAACACCAATCAGACATTAGGTTTATCCCATAATGTCTTTTTCCTTCTGCTTCACCCTTATTACACTGTTTGACACCTACCCACCACATCTAATGAGCCATGAATGTACCATGCCCCTTACTACCATTTCAATTGTTAAATTTATTTGGAATGGCTTCCCCAATCTTTTCTTTCTGGTGATATCTTTCAAGCCCAAATTTAATGTCACATTCACTGTGAAGCCTTTTATTATATAAGCCAAGGGAGATTGTTGTGTTTTCTGCTTTCATATAATTTATATGTATACACATTTATATTTATATATATACTTTATTGTAGAACTTGTCTTATTGGTGTAATTTGTTTCTGCATTTGCCTTACTTTTTTGGGGGGTACTGAGGGTTGAACACAGGGGCACTTGACCACTGACCACATCCCCAGCCCTACTTTGTATTTTATTTAGAGACAGGGTTTCGCTGAGTTGATTAGCGCCTTACTTTTGCTGAGGCTGGCTTTTAACTTGCGATCCTCCTGCCTCAACCTCCCAAGCTACTGGGATTTCAGGAGTGCACCACTGTGCCTGGCCTTACTTTTAAGAATGATTTTGACCATACTTTTTAATTATCCTCTGCTATTACCTGGTATAGTGCTTGGCATTTAATTGCTTTTTTTGAATTAACAGTGGCATATGTGATGGATATATGTTAATGTTTAGCATTTGTTGTTAATTAAAAATTTCTTTCCCTGACAGAATTAAGAAGAAATGTTTGCAATTTATATCATAAGCAAAAGGCTAAACTCCCTAATAAAATTTTAAAATTTTATTTTTACAAAGAGAATAAAAATCCCAGTGAGAAAATGAGTACAGGATACAGATTATAGTTAAAAAAAAAAAAAAACACCAAATTACTCTAAATATGTTTAATGATGCTTAGCCTCACTCATAATAAGGTAAATTAGATATACACTAAGGTAGTCATTCTTACCTATTAAATTGATGAATATCCAAAAGTTTGAGGATATCCTCTGATGGTGAGTTTAAGAGATGCAGGGACCATTCTCCATTGTTTAAGAATTTACAGAGTAGCACAACCCTATGGAAGGCAATTTAAGCAGAGTGTACCAGGATCACAAATGCATGTTTCTCAGCTTAGTTCTTCTGCTTGTAGAACTTTACTCAATACAGGCTTAATCATAATTTCAAAGTCTGAAAAGCTCTGAAAAACAAAAGGTTGTTTTGTTTTTGTTTTAGGTTCTGCACTCATTTGATGACAACTCCTGACTCCAACTGATTGAGGTTCCTGTTGTGTCTTAGTGCACTGTTTCGATTGCTGGTACTTTTTGTTGTTTTGTTACATTAGATTTTAATTGCATGTGAAAATATCAAAAAATCAAAAATGAGTGAGTGGGTCCCAGGTGAAAGGTTCCATGGTCAGATCACAAGAGCTGACCATGATGTTGCTTATGGTATTATAATAGGACCATGAGTAGAGAGTACACTTAAGTATTTGCTGAATTGACTAAAATTTTTCTAAAGTATAAAAATCCAGAATAGGGGCTATAGAGTAAATATCTTTGGCCTTGTCTCTGTTGCAATTACTCAACCCACCTTATACTAGAAAAGTAGTCAGGGATGATAGATGATATATAAATATCTAGGTGTACCTGTATTCCAGTAAAACTTTATTTTGTTGTTATTTAAATAAAAAACAGAACCGGATTTGGCCCCTGGGCCACTGTTTGCCAATTCCTAACCTAGACTATTGACAAGAGAGAGAAATAAATGGTAATCAAGTTCTTAACAGCAAAAATACTTCTCCCTCTGTTCTGTAATTGGGAGTTTCTTTCCTTGTGTCACAAGAACAGGTGGTCTTTGACTTATATGGTTGTTGTGGCAATATAGAAACCTTTTAGGGAATTTATTTTTGGTCTCAGGACTGAAAATAAAAATCTTTAGATTTGAGTCCTGGAAGCAGAGAGATGCAGCTGAAAATTCTAGCTAAAGGAGTCACATTTGAGTACTAGTACACTGTGTATCCATCTTTCTAACTTGCTACATTACTGTAGTATGTAGTAGAAAAGAATCCCAAAGTAAAATTAGAGCTGATCTAGAATTAGATCTGCTATTTGTCAGCTTGATCGCCTTAGAGAAAAAACTTCCTGGGCCTCAGTTTCTCTAGCTGGTATCCCTGGGTAGAATATGAAAAGAGGTTGGACTAGAGCTGCTATTTCAGTTTCCTCCTAGCACTAAAGATGACATTTTAGGGGAGGCCGACAGTAGCAGACTTGTATTATGTATGGTTTTCCTTAAATTGGGAACTTCCTGTATAGTTTTTTTGAAATGTAGACATGCCAAGTAATTTTGCACATTTTCCTTTAGGGGCTAAGATGGACCTTGTTCTCAGTGCCGCAGATTATTATTTTTTTACACCATACGTATATCCAGCCAGATGGCCAGAGGATGACATCTTCCGACAAACTATTAGTCTCCTGATTGTGACAAATCTTGGCGCTTATATCCTTTATTTCTTCTGTGCCACATTGAGCTATTATTTTGTATATGATCATTCATTAATGAAGCATCCACAGTTTTTAAAGGTAAGAGACCTTCTTACCTATTTTCTAGCTACTGTTAAAGTAAAAATAACAATATCGTGTATGAGTAAGATTTTTCAGATTAAACTGGGTATATGTAACCTTAAATAAAGTTTTTGAAACCATCCTCCAAAAAAAGTTAGATATTTTTTGTGATGGTTAATCCCTTCCTTCCCTAATTTAAACAAACATGAGAATCTGATTTTTTAACAATAAACCTAGTATCTTATCTTGCTTGATACATAAATGAGGATTTGCTAATATTGATGAATAAATGTCTTCATTTAGGTAATTATTTTAGTATTGGGCTTTCACAAACTGAAATATGTTTTTATCATGTTTTTCTTTAGTCAGGGGAGTCAAAATATAGTTTTAGAGTTGTTTATAATCATTTTTATACTTCAGTTATTTGTCAGTAACTTCAAGCACTTAATTTTTTTTTTTTTTAATATATAGGAAGGGTTGGAGATGGAGGTCAGGCTTTGTGGGAAGGAGAAAAGGTTTCAGAATTTAAGATATTTACTGTATCTGCTTAGGATAAAAGGAATATTTTTCTTAAGTATCTATTACTGTGTATTAAAAGTTTTATAGAAACAGTTTAGAGGTAAGCTGCTTAATATAAAATAGTGTTTAAAAATCCAATCCAAAACAATTTTATGACAGTTTGTTGAATGTAGATTTTTGTGACTTTTAAGTATTGGGAATTTCATTTTCAGAATCAAGTGTATCGAGAGATTAAGTTCACTGTACAGTCATTACCCTGGATAAGTATCCCCACTGTTGCATTGTTCCTGCTAGAGTTGAGAGGTTACAGCAAATTATATGACAACATAGGAGAGTTTCCAAGTGGTAAGTAAATAAGATGAGGGTTAGGAGCACAAGTTGGTTTCTTTAAAAAATCATTACTGTCTCTTTTTTTCCTCTTTTAAATTGTTCTATTTTGACTTTTGTTTTCATGCATTCATGTCTTGACACTTATGTGCATTTCTTTCATTTTATCTATCAACTTAAAAGTCTGTTGTAGATGAAATTGTGCCTGGGGGAAGACTGGAGTGATCAGAGATAGTCCCTTGCTCTGTTTTCTCTTATCATTATTGAATTTAAACTTCTAAAAAAGTAACTCAAGTAGTACATGGAAGTTACTGAAAATAAAAAAATACAGATTTTTAAGAATTTTTTTAAGAATCCTGCTACTACTGAGAACTAAAAATCTTTTGATATATCTCCTCTCACTTTTCTGTATGCTTTTTTTTTTTTTTTTGTACCAGGGATTGAACTCAGGGCCACTCAACCACTGAGCCACATCCCCAGCCCTATTTTGTATTTTATTTAGAGATGGGCTCACTGAGTTGTTTAGCACCTCGCTATTGCTGAGGCTGACTTTGAGCCTAGTGATCCTTCTGTCTCAGCCTGCCAAGCTACTGGGATTACAGGCATACGCCACCGTGCCTGGCTCTGTATGTGCATTATTTTTATTTTTTAGTTGTAGTTGGACACAATACCTTTATTTATTTTTATGTAGTGCTGAGGATCGAACCCAGGGCCTTGCACTTGCTAGGTGAGCGCTCTACCACTAAGCCACAATCCCAATCCCATGTATGCTTCATTATTTACATTGTAAAAACACATACTGGTTTGCACCCTGATATTTTTCTCTTAATAAATATAGCCATATTTTCATATCAAAGCATATAAATATCATAATATTTAATTGTATAGATGTCCGTCATTATTAGTTGATCCCTAATTGTTAGACCTTTAAAGGTCACTTTTTGTTGTTGTGTTACAAGCAGTCTCATGTGATTAAACTTTTGTGAAATTTTGAAATTATTTCATCAAGATACATTTCTGGGAATAGGTGGGGCTGGGGTTGTGGCTCAGTGGTAGAGCGCTTGCCTAGCACAGGCGAGGCCCTGGGTTCGATCCTCAGCACCACATAAAAATAAATAAGTAAAATAAAGGTATTGGGTCCAACTACAACTAAAAAATAAATTTTTTTAAAAAAGATACATTTCTGGGACTAGAGATGTAGTTCAGTGGTAAAGTGCTTACCTATTTTGTACAAGGCCCTAGATTCAATCCCTAGCACTGTGATTATAAAAGAAAAAGATAAATTTCTGTTACCTAGTATATAGAAAGTAAGAATAACAGTATTTATTGAACATTTATATGTGCCAGTGACAGTTCTCAGCTCTTCACGTGCATCAATCCATTTTTTTCTACAACAGTTCTGAGATATGTACTATTATTAAGCTCCTTTTATAGGTGAGTGATTTAGATATGCATAGTTTCAGTAACTTGCCTAGGTTACTCATAAAGAGGAGGTGGACCTGAGGCTTGAACTCAAGCTTGCTGGCACCAGAGCCTTGCTGTCAACGTAAGCGATTATAGTTATATAGAGGAGGCAACAAAAATGATGCCCTAAGTTGATGAATTGGCTGGGCCTTGAAAAACAAAAACAAATGTGAACAAAAATAGAAGGATAGAGAGCATTTTAGACTTGTACACAGTGTGAATAAAGGTATAGAGGTAAGACATTGGGAGGAAGTGGAGTAAACCAGCCTGGTTAGAGCAGAAATGCACAAATAATGAGGAATGACGAGGTTGGAAAGATCAGAAAGGGTTGGGTTATGGAATAAATGCTAGATTTAAGGAATTTAGTAAAAATAAAGTTCTATGCAGGGAAGTACTGTATAAGGATGTATTTTATATAGGTTAACCTGAAGGAAAATGGGTAAGTAGCATTAGTAGCATTATTCTCAGGTTTAAATAAAAGTGTCTTAGGAATATCTTTTTTGGGGGGTTGGATGGTATTAGGGATTGAACCCAGGGGCACTTAACCACTGAGCCACATCCCCAGCCCTTTTTATTTTTTATTTTGAGACACGATCTTGCTAAGTTGCTTGAATTTGTAATCCTCCATTCTCAGCCTCCCAAGCCGCTTGGATTAAAGATGGGTGCCACTGTGCCCTGCCTTTAGGAATGTCTTTTCTGTTTCATGATACATATCTTTATAGTTTAATTAAGAAATTAATATGTTCAATTTTTATGTTGTATATCAGTTTAAAAAAAGAATTTTAAAAAAGATATCAATTAAAGGTAAGACATTTCAAGCTCTTATGAGATGGAAATAAGGAAATGACCAGCTTTCAGGGAGTGAAGGGAGATGATAACATCTGAAGTTAGCTGAAAGAGTTTGTAATGTTTGAGTCTAGGATCCCATTTTGCACTCACGTGGGCAGGTACAAAGTGAACTCTAGTCCTAGGAGCCGCATCTTGATTCTCCTGTGCCTGCCATCTCTCCTAGGTTGGTTTCACCTCATTGTCAGTGTCATCTCCTTCCTCTTTTTCACCGATATGCTGATCTACTGGATTCACAGAGGCCTTCATCATAGACTTGTATACAAGGTAGAGTCATTGGAAGGGGAAAGAGAAAAAATACTACCCATTTTGGCATGTATGATCATGAATTCTGTTCTCTATTTCCAAGAATTTCCTCTCACTATATTAATAACTCAGTAGCCATACTCATAACCAGTACCCGATACACTTTGTTAATTTTTTTATGAGTTTCACTTTAAGACGGCCTTCTTTATGAGGGCTGTCTTAAAATTTTAGTTTTGGGGTAAAGAAAGAAGCAGGCCTTTTTATAAAGTATTTTGCTAATTTCAAAGGGATTTTTTTAGTGAGATCATTTCTATAATGTGAGTGTGAAAAGCTGAGTTGACTGTGGCAGGGTTGAAGTTCTTGGTGCTGATTGTGTCCTTTTCTTCCTTAGCGTATCCATAAACCTCATCACATTTGGAAGATCCCCACTCCATTTGCAAGTCATGCTTTTCACCCAGTGGATGGCTTCCTTCAGAGTCTACCTTACCATATATACCCTTTTATCTTTCCGTTACACAAAGTGGTTTACTTAGGTTTGTATATCTTGGTTAATATCTGGACCATTTCCATTCATGATGGTGATTTTCGTGTCCCCCAGATTTTAAAGCCATTTATTAATGGCTCAGCACATCATACAGACCACCACATGTTCTTTGACTATAACTATGGACAGTACTTCACACTTTGGGATAGAATTGGAGGTTCATTCAAAAACCCTTCCTCCTTTGAGGGGAAAGGACCACTTAGTTATGTGAAGAAGATGGCAGAAGAAAAATGCAACAGCCCTACAGAAAATGGTTGTAAAAATGAAAAATTATGCAATGGAGAATTTACAAAGACTAAGTAATTATTGCCCAATTATTCTTAAATATTTTTAATAAGGAAAAATAATCTACACACAGCCAAGATACACAGCAAGTAATTGGTATCATTTGAAAATCAGCATTGTGTGTTCAGCTAAGGAATGGTGACAAAGGTAGGTCAAGGAAAGATGGTGTGACCATCAAGATTAGAGTCTCATGCTTAAAATGCCAGATGCTGGCCCAGGGGACAATTTTTGTCTTTGCAGCCAGCAGATCTGTAGTTTGATTAGCCTCAAGAACAATTCTAAATAAGATAGAAAATATACTACTAAGGRGAACAGGCTATATCCTTTTGCCTTAATCCACCTGTATTCATTAAGAAAAATTCATTGTGCTTAATAATACAAGACTAAGCACCATAACCAAAAAATACTAATATAAAGATGGTTCCTTGTTCCAGGAATGGTTAAGTCTTCAGTGTTGGTATGATAATGAATATTCATAGGACTTCGTTCAAGTGGAAATGTCAGTGTGAAAAAGAAAATTTGATATATTAGATAGCTATGTCAGTAATTTAATGACAGATATAATAAAATGATTATCTTCCTATACATAGGAGCCTCATTTTCTGGGACACTGTCAAATAGTCCATTATACTGATGAATAAATAAATGGAAATTTTTTAAAAAATCAATTCTACCATGATTTAATCCAGATATGGGATTATTTAGCTAGAGATATTGATGCTTCTCATTTAAAAACATTATTTAATAAGTATAAAAAATGGAATCTGAATATAGTTAGAGAAATTTGATGCCAAAGTAATATATTTGGCACTACTGATTTTTTAAAATAAAATTTATGCACTGCACTTTTGATATGTTTCAAAGTTACAAATCCATCATTGTTTATAAAAGGAAGTAATTGCCAAATATTTAGGTCTTCTTCTGAAGATTTGTTTTGAAATCTGATTCTCCTACTTCTCTACTTTTCCCATTGCCTCTGCAAAAAGGCTTAACAAATACTTTCATAAAGAAATGTGTGTATTGTAACATAAATATATTGGAAAAACATGTTTTGTAAAGGCATTCTACTAGCTGTTTATCAATCAATAAAAGTTGATCATCCTGTTATTAAACTGTATCAGTTAAATATTGTAATAGCACAAAATATGCTCTATGCAAAATCTGTGTCAATTTGAAACCACATAGTTGATGTGGATTGTTAAAACTATTTTAGAACATTCTAGATGTTCAGTGTCAATGAGAGATATTTCACATCTTTATTAGATTTGAGTGTTTTAGCAAGAGACCAGTCATAAAATTTAATGCCTGGGATCCAGAAGAAAATGTCTTTTATTGTTACATTGGTAAAATGCCGTGTTACTTCACTGTACCAATTAGCATTTTATAACAGAGAATCACCTGAGTGCTTCTCACTAATTCCCAACCCCACCACAGTGCTGCACCTTGCCCAAGAAAAAGAAGGAAATTAAGAAGTCATTTGTTTCCTAATAATAGTGACAGATAATATGCATTGAGTTTTCTTCTTTACCAGGCATGGTCATGAGTATTTGACATGAGGACACTTAAGACCCAGCTAAAGTAGCTTTTCCAGAGTTTATTCCTTGCTCATGTTAAGTCCCATGGGATGTTGCTGGTCAGGGGGCAGCTTCCTTGGTGGCTTGCTTTTTCTCAGTCTGTAGAGCCCTCTTTATTGAAGGGGCACATGGGAGGGGGGAAGGAAATGTTTGCTCATGGGCAATTTCTCTGGGTCAGGCCTACAAGTGGTGTGTATCCTTTCTGACCACATTCTTTGAACACAACTGTCCTATGGTTACCTCACTGAAAAGGATGTGTGGAAATATGTGCAGCTATTTTCTGGGAGGAAGGGAAAGCCAGTTTTTTGAACACTTAGCTGGTTTGCCATATCCTGTAGTTTATAACCCTCTTTGTGAGGAAATAAAGTTGTCAAAATGGCGAATGAACTCAAAAGTATCTCCGTGCACTGGCTGTCTTAACATCTTTAATTCCATACCTCCAATATGAGTGTTAAAATTTCCTCTAGCTTTTTATTCCTGTGTTGCTTAGTAGATAGGAAAGGACATCATTCATGGCAAGAGGAGTTCTAACTTTTATGCACTCTGCCACATTCTCCTATTCTCTATTAGAGGAATTGAGAGAATGTTGTATCTAAATTCTTCTCTGTAAGAACAGCAAGTGAAAGCCCTTTTTTCCTTGACTTTGAAACCTTTTCTAGTTATAGGACAGAAAGGGAAAAGCAAGGTTACATTTTCTTCTTTTATGGGAGAAACTGGAAAGTGGTTGGAGATGTGAGAATACATTTTAAAAGCCTGGAGACATTTTCTGAGTCTTCATCTTCCTCCCTGGTAAGGTCAAATGCTGTGAATCTCCTACTTGTTATCCCTCCTCTCATGTTTCTTTTTCCTCCCATCTTCTAGAAGGGACAGAGTTGGGAGAGAATTGTGAGTTCAGCTTTTGATTCATACAGGTAGGTTAGTTTTAGAAGATGTCTGGGAGAAACTCAGGAGAGAGATTTGGGGTTAACCCAGGTAGAAAAGTTTGAAATCATGAGATTGCCAGAGAGAGCATGAAAAAAGGTATCCATAGACATGAACTAGCTTGAGGAGTGCTACGGATCTGAACAAGTCCCCTAAAATTCATACTTACTCACCAATATGATGCTATTAAGAGGTAGGGCCTTTAGGAGATAAGGTCTTGCCTTCATGAGTGGGATTACTGACCTTTTAAGAGAGGTGTAGGGGAACTCTTCATCCCTTTTGCTCAAATGATGTGAGGACATGATATTTGTCCCCTGCTGGAGGATGCAGCAACAAAGCACCATCATGGCAACACCACAACCCGGCCAGATGCTGACCCCAGCACCTTAATCTTGGACTTCTCAGCCTCTAGAACTGTGAAATAAATTTCTAATTATAAATGACCTAGTCTAAGTTATTTTGTTAAAGCAGCAAGAAATGCTTAAGGCAAGGGGAAAGAACTTTCTTTTCTTGTCTTTCCTACCTTCAAACCCAAAACACTTGACTAGCAGTCTTATTTCAGCACTTTCTGTTTCCTATCACCTTTTATTATCACATGCACCTTATTTGGGGCCACACATTACTTGAAAGTAGAGACTGTATTTGAGTCATCTTTGCATTAAACCATTCTCACAAAATGCCTAAGAGTTGAGGAATACTTTGCTGTATCTATTGATGAAAAGTGAAAATGTTGTTCCCTTTGAGGCACATAAATGTGCTAAGCACTGTACTCCATGCAAATATTTAATCTGTTCTGATGTTCCTTTTTTACCCAACAAATTGTTTCTCATTTATTCATTAGCTGACAATTGTTAAGTACCCTGGGGGAGCCAAAAGGGGCAGCGTAAAGCAAGCAGGGTCAATGACGGTCCCTGCATCAAAGGAAGGCTCCTTTGTTTCCCCTGAAAGTAATAGCCTTCTCCTGGAAGCAGGCAAAACCCACCAGTACCCCAGATTCTGACCACATGTGAATCAGTAATACAAGTACTGATTCGGAGGTCAAATGAACCTGCATACCCAGCTCTAGGCACGATGCTCTGGATACAAAAGAATCCTTCGAGATTCTGATTGATCATGTCAAGAAAGCACAAACCTAGGAGGATGATTGAACTTCATCCCAGAGTTACTATTGCTAAGAATTTTGGATTCAAATGGGAAAGCGTAAGTCCTGGCCCTCCCACTTCTGAACTGCATGACCTTGATTTCTCCATCTGAGATGGATTAAAACACTGCCTACCTAATGAGATTAAGTTAGAGGCACTTGGGTTACTTTATGTGTAAATTGTGCTAATTGCTTTTCCTTCTAAGTACAGATTATTGTTATAACTCAGGCTCTTAATAGAAATTGCAGGGGGAAAATGCCTAGATAGATGCACATTGGAGGGTGAAGTAAAGAAGAGCCTCAGAAAATCATACGAGTAAAGTTAAAATTGATACAGTATCTACTGTAAATTGACATTGTAAGAGGTAAAATATCTAGATTATTGATGCTAGGTAATTTCACTTTAAAAACACATTACTTCAAACCATAATGCTAGTGTAGAAGATGTGGAGATAAAATAGAAGCAAACATTTCTTAAGAAAGGAAGGAAGCATGTAAATCACATGTCAGCTTTACAGTCAAGGCAGTATGGAAAGAAAAATACATGTAAAATTTAGTTTTTTCTGGGGCTGGAGTGTAGTTCAGTGTTAGAGTGCTTACCTAGCATACATGAGGCCCTGAGTTTGATTCTCAGTGCAACCAAAAATATACATACATTTTTCCCCTTAAATCTTGATCAACTTGAAGATCTTACTAAATTGTAAGTTCAGTAAAAATATTTTTTAAAAAATGGCATTCTCATTTCATGATTAACTCATAATTTAACCTTCAAATTCTAAACATTCACTACCATTTACATATTAGTTATATTTCTTAAACATTTGGTAAGAGATTTAATATTTTGATTTAATCCCCTAAAAGATAGACTTGGGGACTTGACATATTTTTCTAAGTACCTTGACATCTTTTCATTACTTAACCATACTTAGTCACAAAATAGCATAACAGTATCAGAAGTTAGTCACTTGACTTCAAAGTCTTTGTACCACAAGCTCTTTCTTACTTTTAACATCGTTTGTTACATTTTCCTTCATTTTAAGGTGATAATTTTATTCAGCCATATGTTTAGATAAAAACTTTTCCTCCTGACGTGTGCTACCAAACAAAAAACTAGAAACCGTGCACATTCAAATATTAAGACAGCTACTATACTGATCTCTGTCTGATATTCGTCAAGATAGTTCTTCTTTTTGGTCAACTTAATGGCGGTGTAATTTACATACAATTAAGTGTACTCATTTTAACAGTGCCATTCAACTAGCTTGAACAAATTTATACTCTAATGTCAACCTCAATCAAGATAGAGAAGACTTTCTTCATCAGAAAAGGCTTCATTTCCCTCTGCTATCAATCTCATCCCAGTCCTAGGTAGCCACTGATCTGCTTACTATCACTGGAAGTTAATTTTTCCTGTTTTATTTAGAGTTTCATTTAAATTGATTAAAACTGTGTGTACTCTTATATTTAGTTTCTTTAGTTTACCATGTTTTGAGAATCATGGTGTTGTATATATCTGTAGTTTGTGCCTTTTTATTACTGAATAGTATTCCATTGTGTGGTTATCTGTTGATGGATGTTTGTTATTTCCAATCTGGAGTTATGAATAAAGCTGCTATAAGCATTTGTGTGCAAGTCATTGTATGAATCTGTCTTTTCTTTCTGGTAAGCATGAAAATTCTGGAGTCAAGGTAGATGTATGTTTAATTTTATTTTTAAAAACTATTAAACTTTTCCCAAGTGGTTGTGCCATTTTACATTCYCACTACTGATGACTAGAATTTCATTTTCTCCATACTTTCACTAACAATTTGTCAGTCTTTGTTTTTAAGCCCTTCTAGTAGGTATGAACTAGTGTCCCATTATCGTCAAATTTGCATTTTCTTGTGACTAATGATTTTAAGCAACTTTTCTCATGTTTCATCTTTTGCAATGTATCTGTTCGACTCTTTTGGCCATTTAAAAAATTATGTGGTTTTTCTTTCCCTAATTGGCTTATAAGAATTCCTTATATATTGTCACAATTTCTTTGTTAGATACATTTATTACAAATCCTTAATAATTTCATCCAATCTGGTTTACCTTTTCATTTCCTTGATGATGTCTTTTGATAAGAAAAAATGATCAATTTTTTTTAAACCAATTTATTAATTTTCATCATCATAGTTATTGTGCTTTTGTCCCATCTGGGAAATCTTTGCCAGCCCCAAAGTAAACCCAGAGTTTTCTTTGTGGGAAGGTTTTTGATAATGAAGTCAAGTTTTCTAATAGCTAAAGACTCTCCATATTTTCATTTCTTTATTAGTTTTGATACACGTTTTTCATCGAATTGTAATAAATTGTGTTGAACATTCCCTATTTTAATGCTTGAGGATCTGTAGTGATATTTCCTTTTTAATTCCTTATATTAATGAATTGTGCTTTCTCTTTTACATGATCAGACTGAAAGAATATCAATTTTTTTTTTTTTTAACCAACTGCCAAGGTCTGAATGTGTTTCCCATAAATGAAAATGTGAAACTTAAGTGGGGTTTTTAAGAAGTAATTTAGGACATGAGGCCTCCACCCTTGTGAATGATATAAGATTATTAAAAAAAAAAACAAAAAACTTTAGGTAAGAATCCCCTTTCCTTTTCTATCCTTTCTTCCATGTGAGGACATAGCATTTGGCCTCTCCAAGAATGAAGCATTTAAGGCACCATTTTGGAAGCAGAGACCCTTAGTTAGTCTTTCCAATCTCATGAACTGCAGGAGGTTTCTGTTGTTTGTTTATAAGTTAATCAATTTCAGGTATTTTATTACAGCAGC